TTTGGAACTTTTCAAAGAAATACCTCTACTGATAAAAAGAGAGATATTAGATTAACTGGGCTTATTTGACATATTAGATTGTATGGGAAGCACTGTCAAGTAATAAAAGTAATACATTTTCTTTGAGTTCTGTTTGCATCGATATGTTATTAACGTATTTTGGAAACTGTATAAAGTTTACAGAAATCTAACAATCCTGGTAGTGTAATAACCTAACCTGGGTTAGCCTAACTGACTCCATCTTAGCTGCAAACCTGACAAGCTCTCTGGAGCCTCTCCCTCCCTGCCACAGCCCCTCAGGTGCATTACTGGGTCACCTGCACTCAAAGCTTTAAACTGTTAAGAGTGGTTTCCACTGTTCATAGGTTTCCACTGTTCATGGGTTTCCACTGTAACCCCATCCTGCTTGGCAAGTCTATCTGCTATTGTGAATACCTTCCTCGTGATTGATTGTATGGAAAGTTTCCCCTGCTACCTGCCTTAGTGATTGTATGGAAATACCTTTAGCAACCAACAGTCCTGGGAACCTTCTTCCCCCTGGTTACCAGCCTCCTCCTACTAACTTGCTTCTTCTGCTTCTGTAAAATTCCCCTTCAGCTAGGCTGCCCACTCCCCTACCTAAATCAAGATATAGAGGGAAATGAAGCCCCTTCCTTGGGGCTGAGAGATTTGGAGCATTAGCTGACTCTCGGTCTCCGACTGAATAAAGGACTCATAATTTGAAACTCAGAGAGTGGCGATTCCTTCTAACTTGCTCTGTTATTACAGTATAACTCTAACAATCATAATTCTAGTTATTATCTTAAAATATTTTATGCAACAGATATAACCAAAACACTTAGTCAATTGCATTATTACTGTAATGAACTGTCATCATATATTTAACCACAGCCATTTCAAGTCTTGTCATTTACAGGGTGGTTAATTATTTACTCTGATACTTTCCTGAGTAACCGTAAGCCTAAAGTGCTTCATCTTCATGGAGATTCATGAAAAAGACTCTAAAAGGTACAGGTTTCTCATAACTTTAAGATCACACCATTGGACTGTGCAAGAATTCCCAGAACTTTAGTGGAGAAAGTGACTGGTTCACAAAACTCCTAACCCAACAACAAGCAGAACAAGAACTAATAATACCAAGGAAATGACCTGGCAGACTTTCCTGCTAAGTCAGCCAGTACTGAAATTATTAAGATATGCAATTTGAATGAACTCCCGTAAAATTAAGTCAGATTACCTGTGTAACAGATATTTAACAAACAGTGCTACACGCCTGAATTAGAGAAACAAAATAGACGTTTAAGAGGATGTAAATCCAATGGGAAGCATAGATTCATGGAGAGCCTGGATGGCTACCTGCTTCTTCCTGAGTCCTTAAAGTTTCCATTACCAAAAGCTCTGCATTCCACAACTTATCATGGAGGAGATAAAAGTATCCAAATTGTGAAGAAATACTGGTGGAATGACTCTTCTAAAAGTGCTAAAATGATTTACACCCACTGTTTGGCTTGTCAAATCCATAATTCTGATAAGACAATCAAAACTTTAGGTGGTATATTTCCACCATTTGTGGGATCACTTGACCATTCACAGATAGACTTGTGAATTTCAATTTCTACCCTCAACAAGGTATCAGAATGTTCTTGTAATACTTTCCATGTTTTCTGATTGTATAAAAGGTTTCTCATGTAGAAAAGTTGATGCTATGATGATAGTTAAGAAGTTATTAGAGGCTGGGCATGGTGGCTCATACCGGTAATCCCAGTGCTTTGGGAGGCAGAAGCAGGAAGATTACTTGAGGACAGGAGTTCAAGATCAGTCCATTTCTGAATGTCACTTTCTTTTACTGTTTATAAATACTGCCTGCCCACATTGCTGGTGGAACTCTCTGAAACTTTACTGGTTCAGAGCGCTGCCCAATTAATGAATTATTTCTTTGCTCAAATAAACGCTGCCAAACTTAAATTTGTCTAAGTATTTTTAACAATTGTGAAATGATCACAATTAAGCTAGTTAACATACCCATTACCTTTACATAGTTACTATTTTGTGCATATGTGTGCATGTATGTGTTTGTGTGTGGTAAGGAGATTTGTCTTCTTAGCATTTGCTAAGAAGATTTGTCTTCTTAGCAAATGATAAGTATACAATACAGTATTATTAACTATCTTCACCATACTATGCATTTGATCTCCAGAACTCATTTGTCCTGTACAATGGAAACCCTTTGACCAAAATTAACACATTTGCCCCTTCCATCCAGCTCTTGGAAACCTCTATTCCACTCTGTTTCCATAAAATTTTACTATTTTAGAGTACACATATAAGTGAGATCATGCAGTACCCACCATGGGTTTATTTTGAGGCCTTGAATAAATTACCATCTCTCTGTGCTAGTGTATGCTGAGTTAGTCTCGTTATAAAAGATGATTTTTTTTTTTTTTTTTTTGAGACGGAGTTTCGCTCTTGTTACCCAGGGTGGAGTGCAATGGTATGATCTCGGCTAACTGCAACCTCCGCTTCCTGAGTTCAGGCAATTCTCCTGCCTCAGCCTCCTGAGTAGCTGGGATTACAGGCATGTGCCACCATGCCCAGCTAATTTTTTGTATTTTTAGTAGAGACGTGGTTTCACCATGTTGACCAGGATGGTCTCGATCTCTCGACCTCATGATCTACCCGCCTCGGCCTCCCAAAGTGCTGGGATTACAGGCTTGAGCCACCGCGCCCGGCGAAAGATGATTTTTTTCAGTAACATATTGCGAAACATTTTATAATTCAATGGTTCTTTTTCCCAGAAAAAAAAAAAAAAAAAAACCTGGGAAATAGGCAATAGTCAAAAAGTGTCTGACTCAACTGACCTTTGGAAAAAAACATCGGTATAACTCCAGATAGCCCTAACTTCTGAAGGTAATACTGCCTGGCCTCTGTTGATAAACAAACAGAAACACAAAACCACACACACACAAACCAGCTTCTTGTCTTTAAGTGTGCAAGAATGTTAGCACTTAAAATTTTTAAGATACATACAAACTAAACAGAACAGTTCGAGTTTTTGAAGGGAGCTTGGAAATTTGAAGAATGCAAAGTTAAAAATATTGCCCCATGATTCATATAATTATTTTTCTTTTTACTTCCATCCTCATAGCTTCTCTCCTATCCATTACTTCAGCAATTGTGTAACCAAACTTAATCGCTTAACACCTTATTGGTTACAAGAACATGTCACTATGTTATTTTAAGCTGTTTTGGGCAAATTACACATAATTAGATAGGCTGGGTTAGGGCTGTCTACAAGATCCCAGCCTAGAGTATGGTGCAGAAGCCTGTTTTCTCCAGGACTCTTGCTGCAACAGGATGTGGGAGAAGGGAAACATTAATGTTAGCAGGATGGGAGGACCCAGATTATGGAGACACGATCCTTGCATGCCAGCACCTTTCCAGCTGATTTAAAAGAGGACACAGAGGGAGACAGACATATGGCCATTTCTAGAATGCTAAGCTCTGCTACATGCTGAGAGGACAGGTTCTCAAAGCCAGTTCGTGTACAAGCAGTGGAGGCGGTAACTGCCCTGCTTCTCCTGCTTAGGGTCACATAGCCTGGCAGATCTGGAAGGACTTCCCTGAGAAAGTGACCTTGGAATTGATATCTGAGCGGAAATAACTAGGCATTGGGAGGGGGTGAGGTCAGGAGAGGGTCAAGAGCTTTCGTGTAGAGGGAACTTGTGTGGAGACCTTAGGCAGGAAGAGGTTTTGCACAGCGGAGGAACTGAAATCACAGTCAGGCTGAAGTACAGAGCAAAGGCTGCTGGGGTGTGAGGTGATGTCAAAAGGTAGACACCAGGGCTAGAGGCCGCACAACCTTGCTGGCCGTGCTAATGATTTTCTACCCCAAGAATGCTACTTCAGGTGATCAGGCAAGAGGTTAGATGGTGGTGACGGTGGAAATGTAGGAAAAGGAACTTATTCGAGAGATATTTAAAAAGAAGTGAAATAGAGATTAGTTAGTGATAAATGGGATAAAAAGAGTGAGGGAAAGGGAGGTGTCAGGCTGCTGCTCAGGGTCTGAGTTGCCAAAGAGGGGGTCTTTTCCTCAAGGTGATCTAAGGTTTGGAACCACGATTTTTGGTCATTTTTTATTTTCTATGTGAAAAATGGGGAGTTGGCTGTCCAGGAACACACTGTCATCTTATACTTTTTTTTTTTTTTTTTTTTTTTTTTTTTTTTGAGACAGAGTTTCACTCTTATTACCCAGGCTGGAGTGCAATGGCGCGATCTCGGCTCACCGCAACCTCCGCCTCCTGGGTTCAGGCAATTCTCCTGCCTCAGCCTCCTGAGTAGCTGGGATTACAGGCACGCGCCACCATGCCCAGCTAATTTTTTGTATTTTTAGTAGAGACGGGGTTTCACCATGTTGACCAGGATGGTCTCGATCTCTTGACCTCGTGATCCACCCGCCTCGGCCTCCCAAAGTCCTGGGATTACAGGCGTGAGCCACCGCGCCCGGCCCTATACTTGTTTTTTAAAAAGGAGGCGCTTATTTGGGGAGGGAATGAGTGAGGAGCCAGAGGAGAAGGTGAGTGGGCAGAGGCCAGGGAGGAGAAGAGCACGAAGGGAGTCTGGGGACGCGCCCGCAAAAAGGAGTCAGGGAAGACACAGCAGAGGCCGGGGAGGGGAGAGCAAGGAGCATGGCAGGGAGAGAGAGAGACTGGGCAACGCTGGGGTGGAGGAATCCTGGGCTATGACAGTGCTGAAGAATCTCAGCCAGCCTAGTCCAATCCTCTCAATGTGCAACTGAGGAAATTGATCTTTATGCTTTTACTTTATTGTAAATGCGATATTTACACTTGAGAAATTTTGGAAAACATAAAGGTGTAAGGCAAATTAAGATCAGTCATCGTCTTTCCACCTAGAGACACCTACTGCTAATGCAAGGACTTTGCTCCCTTTCTCGCTTTGCAATTTTACCACGGTCCGAAGTGCAACACAGATACCATCTTAGGTCCTGCCTCTAAAACTTAACGGTTGGAGAGCGTCCCACACGCTGACCCAAAGTCTCCGTTGGAGCGGATTGAGACCCGCGGGTTGTGAAACCTGAAGTGAGCGGCTGCGCCGGGACTCCCGGGACCCCGACGTCTTTGCAGCTCACACGGCTAACCGCGAGGGCGCCCTCCGGCAGAAGCAGCCAACCGCAGACACGCCGAGGGAGGAAGGCTGCCGGCGTCCGGGCTCGGGGACTGGCCGGCACCCAGGCCGAAAAGCACGTGGGCTGAGCGGGAGCGGAGGAGCGTGCGCAGGTCAGAGCGCGGCGCGGTTCCGGAGGTCCCCAGGCCCGGCGACATGGGGCGCCTGCTGTTTCTGCTGCTCTGGGCGCTCCTCCAGGCGTGGGGAGGCGCTGAAGGTGAGTGGAAAGGGGGTGCCTGCCGCATGCTGAGGGGGCAGGTGCGCTCGCTCGCGGGAGGGTGGAGAGAGGGAGCCGGGCAGGGACGGAGGGCGCCGCCCGATGGGGCGGGTGAGACCCGGGACGCAGCGGCGCGATCCGGCCAGAACCCTCGCTGCGCCCCGGCTCCGGGAGAGGCAGCGCGGCTCTGAGCTCGCGGGCATCAGCCCCTCCTGAAGCTCGTCTCCCCGTGGTTTCTTTCTTCCTTCCTTCTCTTTATGTTGGCTGCTCTCCCGGCCACTTGCTACGCGCCACGGGTCTTCCTTCTCTCCCAGTCCCGCAAAGGCTTTTCCCCTTCCGCTGCCTCCAGAGCTCCTGGTTCGCCAACAGCAGCTGGACGCGCACCGACGGGTTGGCGTGGCTGGGGGAGCTTCAGACGCACAGCTGGAGGAGCGGCTCCGACACCATCCGCTTCCTGAAGCCCTGGTCCCAGGGCACGTTCAGCGACCGGGAGGTGAAGACGCTGCAACAGTTATTTCGGGTCTATCGAGACAACTTCACCAGGGACGTGAAGAAATTCGCCGAAATGCTGCACTTAGCCTGTGAGCTGAGGGATAGGATACTGGGCCGGTACCCAAGGGGAGAGAAAGGCCACAGAAACTCCGCTGGGAGACTGTGGCTCCACCTGATGAGACTCTCTGCTCTGTCCACCCTCTTCTGATTTCCCTTCTACCGGGAGATGTCCCAGCCTCTGACTCTTCAAAGTGTCCCTTGTTCCTGCCTACTCCAGGTCACTTACTCTCCTTCCCTTGAAGTCTGGGTCCCCATTATAACCCGCACATCGATTTCTTCTCTTTCATCTCTTCCAGTCTTTTAAATCCTACTTTGATCTCTCTCCGTTCCTTTCCGCAGATCCCATGGAGGTCCAGGTGTTTACTGGCTGTGAGGCGGACCCTGGGAACGCCTCGAATAATTTCTTCCATGTAGCATTTCAAGGAAGACATATCGTGAGTTTCCAAGGATCTTCTTGGGAGCCAGCCCAAGAGGCCCCAGATACGGCAAACTCGGTCATCCGAGTGCTCAACCAGGACCAAGGGACGAAGGAAACGGTGCACTGGCTCCTTAATGACATCTGCCCCCAGTTTGTCAGTGGCCTCCTTGAGTCAGGGAAGGCAGAATTGGAGAAGCAAGGTCAGCCTGCCTTCCTCACCCCCTGCACTCCACTTTGGGGTTCCAAACGGGGCTTCTCCATTCCAGGGTTCTCATCCCTTTGAGCATTCAAAGGAGAGGAAGGCCCAGGAGCGGCTGGATGGAAGAGGGTATTTATTCATTTCACAGACATCAACTGAGCACCTCTTGGGTTCCATGAATTGAATTAATAAACAACTGGGGTTGAAAAATGTCAGGCAGGTAGGATCCCTACTTGGTGGGAGGATGTTAATTAATGCAGTGTTTGAAATAAGCAACACATGTTGCTGCAGGATAAAGGGTGTTATAGGAGAACAGACAAGGGGCATTTATAGGGGACTGGGACCAGAGAAGGAGAAAGAGTATCAGGGCAGTTTCCCTTAAGAAGGTGGCACAAATGGGTTGAAAGTTGTGAGAGGCTTCATTTCCAACGTGAACATGTGGGGAGCATGAGCCTGGTATGAGGCCTGGGGCCTCTAATGCAGAGTTTTCACTTTAAGATCCCCTCATTCCCTTGTTGGATACAGTGAAGCCCAAGGCCTGGCTGTCCCGTGGCCCCAGTCCTGGCCCTGGCCGTCTGCTGCTGGTGTGCCATGTCTCAGGATTCTACCCAAAGTCCGTGTGGGTGATGTGGATGCGGGGTGAGCAGGAGCAGCCGGGCACTCAGCGAGGGGACGTTCTGCCCAATGCTGATGAGACATGGTATCTCCAAGCAACCCTAGAGGTGGCCGCTGGGGAGGCGGCTGAACTGTCCTGTCGGGTGAAGCACAGCAGTCTAGAGGGCCAGGACATCGTCCTCTACTGGGGTGAGAAGGAGCTGGGGCCCAGGCTGGAGATGCCAGGAGGTGGTCCTCAGGCATAGAGGGAGGCACGGGGGAGGGCGGTGGCTTGATACACCCAGGATAGAGGAGTTTCAGAGATGAGGCCTCCAGTGGAAGGGATAGAGGGGTTTCAGATACAGGAAGGAGGGAAATAAAGACCCCAAAAGTCAAAAAGGATCGAGACAAAGTGTTCTGTCTCTCCTCTGTCTCAAAGACACAAGAAGAAACAAGACTACAAAACTCAAGGATCTGGAGGTAGGCAGCAAATAAAGAATTCCAGGAAGATTCATTCCTCAGCAAAAAGAGAGCCAGGCCTTTGGGAAGGCAGCTTAGCAAAGATAGCTTGGTTGGTTAAGTGTTCCCTGTGTAGGGGCCAGGGAATCTGCATATAGGATCTCATCTCATCATGCACAATTCTCTTTGGAGTGAGTACTGCTCTTCTCATTTAACAGATGAGGAAATGGAGGCTGAGATAGGTTAACTGCCGAAGCCGCGTAGAAAGTGGACGGGCTGGATTTAGACTCAGGTCTGCCTTGCTACAAAGCTGTTGCCCTTCCCGTCTATGCGACACTAGCAAATGCTGAGGTGGGCCGAATTTGGGATGCCCAGGTTCTGAAAACAAGATGGGAAATCTACATTTATGAGGAACAGAAATGGGTGCTTTAAGTGGAGGAGGAAGTAAGAAGTACCTGGTGTGCTCACAGGTGCCTAGACCAGGGGACTGGATATAGAGAGGGAGGGGTCCTGTGCTAAGAGACAGCCTTTTATCCTCCAAAGCAGGTGGGAGCCAAGCCTCCGTGGGCTTGATTGTCTTGGCGGTCGTGGCGTGCCTGCTGTTGCTCCTTGCGCTCATCGTAGGCGTTACCTTCTGGTTTAAGAGGCAGCCGTAAGTCTCCCGTTTCCCTTTCTTTGACCTCTCTCCCGTTCATTCGTGGGTCCCCCTTTTCCTTAATGGTCTTTCCCTTTCTATTCTCTCACAGTTCCTATCAGGGCGTCCTGTGACTCGTCTCGCCACATCCGTGTCTCTGAAACTCAGGACCTCTGGACCTCAGGTTCCCAGGACTTCAGTCCCGGTGTGCTCAGGAACTGAAAAAGAAAGGAGAGATACCTTGAAAAAGTAGAGAACAGTCATATGGCAGCTCTGATCACACCCTTTTAACATTCATCTAAAATAATTTAAATTCTTTTAAAAAAATTACACTACAAGTTTATAAGCCAAGCGGCTCTATAAAATCAGAAGTGTAAACACGTGCAAACTTGTGTCTGAAGACCTACCAGGGACAAGCAGTTAAGGGCTGGAGTGTGAGCGTGTGTGATGGGATCTGCAATGAACTGGAACGCACATGTTCTATCCAAAGGCATTAGCCGCAGCTGCTTGTCGTTAAGTATAAAGTCAGGACCTGGCTTGGCTTTAACCGTCTTTCAAGAAAACTGGAAATCTGGATTTTTGCGCGAATATGCTTGATTTTTTTTTTTTTTTTTTTTGAGACGGAGTTTCGCTCTTGTTACCCAGGCTGGAGTGCAATGGCGCGATCTCGGCTCACCGCAACCTCCGCCTCCTGGGTTCAGGCAATTCTCCTGCCTCAGCGTCCTGAGTAGCTGGAATTACAGGCACGCACCACCATGTCCAGCTAATTTTTTTGTATTTTTAGTAGAGACGGGGTTTCACCATGTTGACCAGGATGGTCTCGATCTCTTGACCTCATGATCCACCCTCCTCGGCCTCCCAAAGTGCTGGGATTACAGGCTTGAGCCACCGCGCCTGGCTCATTTGGTATACTTTAATTTGGAGATTTAAGTAAACAGTGACTCCAGGAGGCTAGAGAAATTAGGACTTTTAGATTACAAATGCAAGATGGAGATCTCATTTAACGACGACTGTAACTTTGAGATAACATGTGGGGAACGTAGCCCAGAGGCGGCTAAAATCCTGTTTCCAGTAAGGTCTTATCTACAAAGCTCCCCACATCAATATAGTTTACTTACAAATACCAAATTGAGTTTGTCTGCTCTTCTAAAGTGGTGAGTTAAGATAAGGGTCCCAACAGATGAACAGCTGTTACTGCAGGTGAGTGTTCTACATCAGGCGTGAGATTTTCAACCATAATGGAGTGAACTTGAACGACCTACACTGTTTGGAGGATTTTCCCTTGAAACCATTAAAGAGCTGTAACACGACGCTTGTGAATGTCACCACTAGGTGGCACTGAAAGTTAAACAGTTACTGAACAGGCTGCGGTGTATTGAAGTTTTCCTATGGACAAAATGGATTTGTTTTGTGTCTATATATTTTTTGTTTGACCTTAAAACGTGACAGTAGCAGACATCTCCTGTACCCTGCCTTACACCTCAGCCCGTTTGTTTTCCTCCAGCCCTTGCTGAGGCCACTGGTTACAGAACCTCAGCTCAGCTCACTGCATATCCCCTGCTTATTTGCCCTAAGTCTTTATTCACAATGTGGTTGGGACACCTGTGAGAAGTGACTTAGCATTTAGGAATGATCAAAACTGCAAGCGTGAGGGAATTAAGATCCACTGGGCAATCCGTGACTACTAGGAGTCATGGCTTTGTGTTCCTCTCAGGTCCCTCGGGTAGACAATTCTGAGGCAAGATCTTCATGGCTCATCAGAGGATTCCAGTGAGGTCAGCTCCAGTTTTCCATAGTGGTGACCAGCCTGATAATGCCACTGTATTGACTTTCTCTCCTTTCTTGTTTTACTCTTCCCAGTATAGTAGCCTTAGTATCTGGTAACATGTCCCATAGTAAAGTCATTTGTAAAGCTCCCCACATCAATATAGTTTGCTTTGGCTTTCTCTCCTTTCCTGCGTTAGGGTCAGCTTCCTGTAAGGAACCCAAGCATAACCTACTACCCTGACAAAGAACATTTTCAGTGCTCAGAACTCTCCTTCATGGCTCTTCTTCTCATTCAACATTCTTTAAAAGACAACTAATCATCTATGAGTTCTATTTTTGATCTTCCTACTGGAATCCTGGCTAGTACTATTTTGTGTTTGCCTTCATTATTTCTTTTTTCTTTTCGTTTTTTTTTTTTTTTTTTTGAGACAAGGTCTTGTTGTGTGCAGTGGCATGATTTTGGCTCACTGCAGCTTCACCCTCCCAAGTAGCTGGGACAACAGGTGGGTGCCACCATACCTGACTAATTTTTGTATTTTTCTACCTCATCTCTGCAGGTGGGATTTCACCATGTTGCCCTGGCTTGCTTTCTTCCATTCAACATCATTTCTGTGAGATTTACCCATGTCGTGGCATGTAGCAGTAGTTCACTGTTTTCCATTGTGGTGTACTGCTCCATTGTGTAAAATATACCACAATTTATCCGTTATACTGCGGGTAGTCATTTGAATCATTTTCGGATTTTAGCCATTTTTAATAATATCACTTTAAATACTTTTGTTCACGTCTTCTTGTGAACATAAACATTCATTTCTTTTGTGAATAAACATAGATATAAAATCGCATATATATATATATTTTTTTTTTTAAACTTTTAATAGATACTGGAAAACCGTTTTTCATAAAGATTATACCAGTTTCACTTTCCCTAATTTCTGCATCCTCACCAATATTTGGTGTTACTAACTCTTTTAGCCACTGTGATGACAGCATAGTGTATCTAATTTTTATTTTAGTTCCTATTTCCCTGTTGATGAATGGTACTTAACATCTTTTCATATGCTGTTTAGCCATTTGGATCTATTATTTTGTGAAATGACTGTTTAAAATTTTAGCTTTTATTTTGGGGTGGGGTGGTGTCCGTGTTTTCTTTATTTATTTGAAGTTCTTTATATTTTTTGGATACTAGTTCTTTGTTGGATATATGTATTGTGAATATATATTGATGCATTTTTTTCGTTACTAATCTCTAGTTTTTCTTTTGCTATTTTTTTTTTGAGACGGAGTTTCGATCTTGTTACCCAGGCTAGAGTGCAATGGCACGATCTCGGCTCACCGCAACCTCCACCTCCTGGGTTCAGGCAATTCTCCTGCCTCAGCCTCCTGAGTAGCTGGGATTACAGGCACGTGCCACCATGCCCAGCTAATTTTTTGTATTTTTAGTAGAGACGGGGTTTCACCATGTTGACCAGGATGGTCTCGATCTCTTGACCTCGTGATCCACCCGCCTCAGCCTCCCAAAGTGCTGGGATTACAGGCTTGAGCCACCGTGCCCGGCTTCTTTTGCTCTCTTAAAGCTGTATTTTGATAAAAAGAGTTTTTTCTTAATGGGATATAGTTTATTGACACTTTATGGTAACTGTTATTAATTTGAGTAAATTATTTACTCTTACTCAAAAGTTATGAAATATTTTCCTTTATCACGGATTCTCAAACTTGAGTGGGCATCAGAACCACTTGGAAGGCCTTTTAAAGCACAGATCACTGGGCCCTACCCCCGGAGTTTCTAATTCTTTGGGTCAGGGATAAAGCCAGGAATTTACATTTCTTAAGATTCTCCAGATGATGGGATGGAGGATTGGTATTAGATCTTCTTTAATGTTTGGTATAGAATTCAACTGTGAGGCCATCTGGTCCTGGGTTTTTTTTTTTTTGTTTTTTTTTTTTTTGTATTTTTGTTTGTTTGTTTTGAAAAGACACTTAATACTTGTTACTTGTTACTGGTCTATTCAGATTTCCAGTTTCTTCATAATTCAAGTCTTCATGGGTTATATGTTTCTAGGAATTTATTTCTTCTAAGTCATCTAATTTGTTGCCATATAGTTGTTCTCCTCTTTCTATTTTTTCTTTGTCTTTCTTTCTTTCTTTCTTTCTTTTTTTTTCCGAGATGGAGTCTCGTTCTGTTGCCCAGGCTGGAGTGCAGTGGCACAGCAATTTTGGCTCACTGCAAACTCTGCCTCCTGGATTCAAGCGATTCTCCTGCCTCAGCTTCCCCAGTAGTTGGGATTACAGGTTTGGACCACCACACCCAGCTAATTTTTTGTATTTTTAGTAGAGATGGAGTTTCACCATGTTGACCAGGATGGTCTCGATCTCTTGACCTCGTGATCCACCCGCCTCGGCCTCCCAAAGTGCTGGGATTACAGGCTTGAGCCACCGCGCCCGGCCAGCCCAAGTGTGAATGATCTCTCCAATTCCACACATCCGACAGGTGTCCCATGTGGAGGTTCACGTTGACTCAGCCTAAAGCTTATTTTAGACTGCAAGAGACGGGCTGTAAGAGGCCAGCCACACACAGGCAGGTAAAGGGAGACCTGCTGGAAGCCAGAATGGCAAGGAAAAAACTTGAAGCAGAGTGGAAGGGAAAATGAGAAGCCCAGGCAGTGGGTTTCTCTGGATAGGAAATTGAGGTTTCTGTTGGTGGAAAGGGGAAGTCAGATGAGATGAGACTATGTGGGGAGGGGAGCTCTCTTACCTGGGTTCTGAGGAGAGCTTCATTGGAGAAGGAGGAAGTCAGGAGTCATGTGAACATTTGGAGGAACAACAGGTAAGAGCTGTTATAGTGAACAGGAACATGCTTTTGGCCTGAACACCAATGATTCAAGAAAGTGGATCCTTGGGAAAGGTTTGGTGGCAAAGGGAAGAACACTGGGCTTGCTAGGATAGCTGGGACACCTGCCTGATTGAGTTCTAATCAGGGTATATGATTCACCCTAGTTTTTCTTCTCTGGGGTTTCCTGTGTCCAGGGAGTACAAAATTTTCAGTGATCAGTAATAGCCATCTCTTTCTCTCTTAATTATTTTCCTTTTCTCTGGTCCTGGTCACCTTCCCTACCTATTTTATTTCTTAATTTTTGTGTAGCATTCTGCCCTTTCTTAAGCTCCACCCCCAACTTCTTAGTATCCCCCAGCCAGCTCCCAGGAGCCCGGTTCCTTTCGGTCCCCTCCTTCAGGTCCTGCCCTGTACCCACCATAGCTGAGTGCACACTCAGGAGTGGAGTTGGCTGGGAAAGTTGCAGACCCTCTCACCAGCTGCTCCCTGCATCTCTGATCAAGATCAGCTCTGTCCACAAAAAGTTGGGGTGGAGAGACTTGTGGCTTGGCTCCACTTCTCTTTCCAATCTGCATCCAACTTCCTCTTCCCTTGCTTCCTCCTTCTTTAGCATCTTTTATGCCCCTGGAGTAACTGAGCAGCTCCCAACACTTTTGTCCAGAACTCCATTTCTCAATTAGTTAATTCTCTTTCTTTTCCTTACCAAACCTAAGCTGAATCCTCTTTGCTTTTCTGACCCCCTACTCAAGGGTGTAGGCCACATTATTTGTGGCATTGTGCAGAATAAAAATGTGGGGGGCACTGTCTTTCTCCATTTGGGCTGCCACAACAGAATGCCACAGACGGGGTGGTTTATAAACGACAGAAATTTCTCACAGTTCTGGAGGCTGGGAAGTCCACGATCAAGAGTCAATGTCTAGTGGAGGCTTGTTTTCTGGTACACAGAGTACCCTTTCTGGATGTGTCCTCACATGGTGGAAGGGGTGAGGGGTCTCTCTTGGGTTTCTTATATGGGGACTAGTCACATTCATGAGGATTCCAAACTCATAATCTAATCACCTTCCAAAGGCCCCATTTCCTAATAATATCACATTGGGGGTTAGAATGTCAACATACGAATTTTGGGAAGACACAGCAATTCAGAATATAGCAGGTCTGCATTCAAATAGGCAGGAAAAGAGTGATTTTAAAGGTATTAAAATATAAAACTTTTTCATTCTTTCTGAAGTTTCTCTCTCTTTCTGTCTCAACCTGTATTGGTGTTTTTGTTTATTTGTGTAATTTGCTACTGTTGTGCCCCTTGGGTACAGGGATACTCACAGGGTGAGCAGAGAGGCTCACCTGGAGTCCCACTCCATGACTCTGAGCACATGCAAGCTGCCCACTGGCTGCTGGGTTCCTCTTTCTGGGAAAAGGAAGTCAGTCTCCCCTTCCCACAGTGGCCACCCTAACCCTCCACGGATGGGTGACCACCAAGAAATTGCAACCACCGCATGGAGATGCACTTGATTCTTGGACCAAGGGTGGGAAATCAGGTCGTCCTGATCTGTCTCAAAACACTCCGTGGTGCAGCCTGGGTGGGAATGACTAACGCCAACTTCTGTGCAGACACTGTAGGGTGCATGCCGCCAAATTTTATTCTCTCTGTGTCCCTGGCAGAAGCGAGGTAATTGTGAAAGGTGATGGCAGAAGGGGCCTCCTCTGCTAATGAGATCAGGTGTTCATATGCACAGAGGGCAGCAGGATGGAGGTGAGCAGGAGGGCAGGAATTGCCTGTAGCCCCAGACAGTGGGGAGGAGCAGGTGGCAAAGAATCAGTGCTGGGGGGAGGGTGAAGTGATGGGAGCCACGTCCACGTGTCAGCCGAGAAGCCCTCACATAAGTTTTATTGGCTCATTGGACTTCATTTATAAAACACATATTAAGATAAAATTATGAAGAATTTAAAGAGAATGATCATAGGGCATCAGCTATGATGCTGCATTGGTTGCATGTCCCACGAAGCAAGCCCTGGATGTGCAATATACAGACTCACTCACTATTTGGGGGTGATCCTGACTCTAACTCTTTACAACCTTCATCTTTCCATCCTACAGCCCTGGATAGCTCAGTCTTTCCCAACTATTTCTGCCATCTTCCACCTCATTCTGAGTCATGCAGATGCCTCGTGCCTGATCAGCCTGGTGTTGTTCCCCTCTTCCCATCTCCCTCACTGTTTCCTTCCCTGCTCTTTGCATTAACTTGAGAAACATTTGTATGTGTATGCTAGCTTTAGTGCCCTTGTTTTGTTACCTTGGCCTGAAGTCTACACTCCCTTCCCAAATTTCCTATTTCTCTCCTTTCCTTCTTCCTTCCTCTGACTTACTATAGCAGATTTATCTGTTTCCCGCCCCAAGCACACACTCTCTTGCTGAACAGATCTGCTCCCTAAACAGGCCTTCCCTGCAGCTCTGTTTCATTCCATTAAGGGAAAAGCCTCATAAAGTTTTTAAAGAGTTTTTTTAAGGATTACAGTTCCTATATCTCTAAAAGTCTTCCCAGGAGCCATTCCATGTGAAAAATTGGACTTGGATTGCTAAACTTGTGTAATTGACCCTTGGTGGGGGTTAGGAGCGATGGTGGCCCCGTGCAGTCAAAAAAATCCGTGTATAACTTTTGACTTTTCCAAATCTTAACTGTTAAAAGCCTACTATTGACTGGAAGCCTTACTGATAGCATAAACAGTTAATGAACACATATTTTGTATGTCATATGTATTATATATGATATTTTTTGTTGTTGTTGTTGTTGTTGTTGTTGTTGTTGTTGAGATGGAGTTTCGCTCTTGTTACCCAGGCTGGAGTGCAATGGCATGATCTCGGCTCACCGCAACCTCTGCCTCCTGGGTTCAGGCAATTCTCCTGCCTCAGCCTCCTGAGTAGCTGGGATTACAGGCACGTGCCACCATGCCCAGCTAATTTTTTGTATTTTTAGTAGAGACGAGGTTTCACCATGTTGACCAGGATGGTCTCGATCTCTTGACCTTGGGATCCACCCGCCTCGGCCTCCCAAAGTGCTGGGATTACAGGCTTGAGCCACCGCGCCCGGCCTATATATGATATTCTTAAAGTAAGCAAGAGAAAGAAAATATTTTTAAGAAAATCGGAAGAGAAAATATATCGGCTATCGATTAAGTGGATCATCACATGTTCATCTTGATTCACGTTGAGTAGGCAGAAAAGGAGGAGAAAGAGTTGTTTTAGCGGTGGCAGAATCAGAAGCAAATCCACGTATAAGTAAATCCACGCAGTTGAAACCCATGTTATTCAACGGTGAAGTGCAGTGTGAGGGTTTGTCAATCTAGTCTGGAGCTAACTGGGTTAGTGTTTTGCTGTTGCTGCAATAGTCTTCACGTTCCTCTACATTACTCTGTTCCTAGGGTGGGGCTGGATAAAATGTTCTTAGTGGTTAAGTGGCTTCTCAAAGCCAGGTAAGACTTGTTCCAGAGAAGCTGAATTAGGGGAAAGTGAACAGGTTGGAAGCTGGTGACAAGGAGAGAAACTGGAAACTAGAGAGGAAAGTCAGAAGCAGAGGGAAATGAGACTGAGTAGGCGTCTCAGGGTTTAAGGGGAGGTTTGTCGGCTGGTTGCAGAAATAAGTCAGACTAGAGATACCGTGGGGTTAGTGTGTTTGGAACGGAAATCAAAGACCAATTTTTGTGAGAGAAGGAAATAACGTCTGCAAATGACATGCTGTTTCTGCTGCTTCCATTGCTAGCTGTTCTCCCGGGTGGTGAAAATGCAGATGGTAAGAACTCTGAGAACTCTGACAACTGCCCAGTTGGGTGATGATGTCTGTGTGTGTGTGTGTGTGTGTGTGTGTGTGTGTGTGTGTGTGTGCTTAGCATATACCTGGAAAGTGAGAGTGCCAGTCTGCTTCCACTCTGACTGTCCACGTCTCCAGGTCCCTGCGCTCTTATGAAGGAAAGTGGTTGATAATGCATGGGACACTGTGGCAAGCAGGCATCTGCTAAGATTATGATGGATCCCCTCTTCTCCAGATTCTCAGTTCTCCCACTCTGGCACCTTCTCTCTCCATTCTGTTTCTCAGTGTCTTTCTCACATTCTACTGTACTTTCACCACAGGGTTCGAGGAGCCGGTCTCCTTCCATGTCATTAAAATCTCATCCTTTTACAACGATTCCTGGGAACGAAATCTGGGCTCAGGTTGGCTGGGTGATTTGCAGACTCACACCTGGGACAGCAAGTCCAGCACCATCATTTTCCTGTGGCCCTGGTCCAGGGGAAACTTCAGCAATGAGGAGTGGATGGAACTGGAAACGTTATTGCGTATACACTTCATTGTTGTTTCTGAGGCAGTTCATAGACGCGTCAGTGAATTGGCATTTCAATGTGAGTACAGTTTCCCCCATGGGGACTGAAGAGTTGGGAGAGAGGGGATGGATGTCTCAATGTTCCTTGTTTCTGTAGGAAACAGCCTGACTCTCTTCTGTATCTTAGTCTATTCCTCTCACCATAAAACCGCAATTGCAAACTTTTGGGCAAGGTCTATATCCAGACCCTAATTCTTCAAACACTTCTGCTACTCTTGAACTCCCATTTCATTGATTGCAGAGTTTTGCTTTATTATCTTTTCTACAGACATCCCATGGTTATGCTTTTTTCTGCCATACAGCCAGATACCTTCAGCTTTTCCACTTTGTCATTCATTCTCTTCAGCAGTCTCTACATAGACTCATTGTAACCCATTGCATGCCGTTCAACCTAAGTTGTTATAATCCCAGTTCTCTTACACCAAGTCCTTTCTCAACCACAGCATTCACATCATTGTCTTTAATTTTTCCTCTTCCTCATGTTACTAATCTTATCCACCACCTATAGCTCCCACAAATTCCCCTTTCTCTGAATCCCTGACCAAATCAAATTTTACTCCATCCCATCAAACCCTGAAGACTTCCCGCTTCTGCTTCTACAATCTTTGCTTCTACACATTTCATTTTATGTTTTTTTTGGTCCTTCTTTCCTCTAATTCATAACCCCAGATCCTTGTGAGATACAGGTGACAGCAGGCTGTGAGCTGCACTCTGGAAAGCTCTCAGGAAGCTTCCTTCGGGTAGCTTACCAAGGATTAGATTACACAAGTTTCCCGAACAATTCATGTGTGCCATCTCCACTGGGTGGAGATGCAGCCAAGCGTGCCTGCAAAGCGTTCAATCAGGATCAGCATAACAAGGATGAGCTACACCATTTCATCAGTGACACCTGCCTACGTTTCCTCTTGGGTCTTCTTGATGCAGGAAAGGCATATCTGCAGCGGCAAGGTCAGTCCTATATCCTCCCTCTAAGAACTTTTGATTTGAAAACCATACCCTGTCACCACCCCCTTCAAATTCAGAATAAGGAGGAGCTGCTCAGAAGTGGGAAAGGCTGGGTGCAGTGGCTCACATCTGTAATCCCAGTGCTTTGGGAAGCTGAGGCTGGAGGACCACTTAAGGGCAGGAGTTCCAGCCCAGCCTGAGCAACATAGTGAGACCCCTGTCTCTGCAAAATAAAAATAAATTAGTTGGTCATGGTGGCACACACCTGTAGTCCCAGTTACTCAAGAGGCTGAGGCAGGAGGATGACTTGAGCACAAGTGTTTGAGATTATAGTGAGCTATAATTTATAATTATGCCACTACACTCCAGCAGAGTGACAGAGACCCTGTCTCAATAAAAAGAGAAATGGGAAAGATGTTTCTATCTAAACTTCTAAACTGATGTAGTGATATGAAACTCCAAGTCTGTAACTGAATATCTCTTCTGACCTTTGCAGTGAAGCCCAAGGCCTGGCTGTCCCGTGGCCCCAGTCCTGGCCCTGGCCGTCTGCTGCTGGTGTGCCATGTCTCAGGGTTCTACCCAAAGCCCGTGTGGGTGATGTGGATGCGGGGTGAGCAGGAGCAGCCGGACACTCAGCGAGGGGACGTCCTGCCCAATGCTGATGGGACATGGTATCTCCGAGCAACCCTGGAGGTGGCCGCTGGGGAGGCAGCTGACCTGTCCTGTCGGGTGAAGCACAGCAGTCTAGAGGGCCAGGACATCGTCCTCTACTGGGGTGAGAAGGAGCTGGGGCCCAGGCTGGAGATGCCAGGAGGTGGTCCTCAGCATAGAGGGAGGACAAGCTGAAAATTTTAGGATATTTGGGATTATAGCCCCAACATGAATAAAAATAGGTAATCTAAGAAATAGAAGTGTTGAAAATGAGGGCCCTGTAGATACAAGAGGATGCTGAGGGTCAGATGAAGGCTCTACCTCTGAGCAGGGATGAGAGGAAAATGCAGAATGAAAGGAGATTGATAAGTTGGACATTCAACTGAAAAAAGGAAGCCCAGGGTAATGCGGTGAAACAGGGAGTGGATGAGGTAAAGTGGGGTGGAGTTAAAATAACATCCTTGGCATCTGTCCAAATCCACAGAACATCACAATTCCGTGGGCTTGATCATCTTGGCGGTGATAGTGCCTTTACTTCTTCTGATAGTGTGTCTTGCACTTTGGTTCAGGAAACGCTGGTGAGTTCTTTGCATGTGTCTTTCCTACTCCTACCCCCACCCCACTCGTCTTCCCACGTTTCTTGTTTCTCTCTCCTCCGTTCTTCTCTCCCCAGCCCCCTTCCCTCTTACTCTGCGATTCTCACCTCTACCTTATTCAGAGTGACTTCTATCTCTGTTCTCATCCAGTTCCCATTAAGACACACCATGAGCCTTCTCAGCACCGTTCTCTTTTTGGGATGAGAAACCAGCGGCCCAAGGACTCAGGACACACCTGAACACGTCGTGGTGATGACATCCTTTCCAGTCTCCTTCTACAACTTGTTATTTTTGGTTATTTCTGCTTAATGATCGTTTGTCAATATAAGCTCAATTTAATTTTGCAGGATTTGTTCTGACCTGGGTTTTGGGACTTTAAAATTATCTCCTAATGGAATGGGGTCCTAGCAACCTCCACATATTCAACCATTAATGTGTTATCAGGCCCTTTTAGATGTCACTTCCTCCAGAGGGCCTTCCCCCACTCACACGTGGGAAGCAGTCTCGCCCTGGTCTGAACTCCCGCCACATTTCAGCTGTCCTTTGCCAACTGTACTTCTCACTTCCTCTCCTTTGCTGCAGTTACGTAGGTTCCCCTTTTCTTCTAATTTTTCAGCTCCTTCAATGCAAAATACATGTGCTTTCAAAATATGCATCCTTGGCGAAGGATTTTGCCTGCATGAAACATGTTCTCAATAAAACTCCGTGGTGAATTTATGCCAGATTTGTAGTCTTTTCTTATTCTTTTCCTTCCTGGTGCTTTTGAAGTAATTGAGACATTTGGTATTCTTTGGGTTAAAAGTCTTCTCACTTGCAGGAGACTTTACACATTCCTAGTTTTATAGTTTTTTAGCTCCAGAGGAGAAACACAATTTTTCCTCTTCCTGCTACTATCATTCAACTATAAAGAGCTATTACAGTTAATTCACTGTTCCAAGTATGCACGGCAGGACACATGTGTTTACTATTCAGTGGCTCAGGGACAAGCAGCAGAATTATCACATTGGAGCTTGATAGAAAGATAGAATTTGGGCCTCACCTTAGATTTACTGAATTATGATTTGCGTTTTGGAAAATCAGCAGGATATTCAACAAGTCTATTAAAATTTGAGAGACAGTCATGTGGGTGATGTCTGAGATGTAGTACAACCGTGTCACTGAAGAGAAAATGATCAAAAAAGGGAACAAGAGTGTTGCTTCTCAAGACTGAAGTGAGATCAAGGCCAGTAATGTGAATACTGCACATTCTCATTATTCATGGCAGTTATGTTCCTGCAGTTGCTGCAAACACTGAATTCATGAGCAGTGAGCCATCGTTCCCAGGGAAATACAGATGTTCGGTTCTTGTGAGATTTTTCACAACATTTTTGTTAACTGATGAATGCATAAGCTTGTTTGATGTATGTTTCTTTTTAAAATCATCTTATTTTATATATGTATGTATTTACAATTAATTCATTATATGCAGTAATTCTGTAAAATAATACACTATCTGAGAAGTGTTTAATATTTTCCTGACCTTAGTTAACATGATCACAAATTTATTTGGTCTTCAGCCTCACAACAATGCTGTCCACTACACTTATAAAAATGGTTGTCATCTCATGAATCCTGAAATGTAGGTATTTTCCCATAGCTTCAGCATAGCGTATAGATGTTACTTTCTCAAGCAGCCTCACCCACAGGTGGGTGAATTTCCTCCTCCCATTTCCTGCATTTACTGAACTGTTGATTTATTAACATTGAACTCACAGTCAGCAACCCTGTAACTGTAACAAAGCTTTTCTAACACACACATTGTTCTCTGTAAGGCAAGTCACGGCCTTCTTATGCTTAGGAAGATGAGACAGCATTTAAGCACTGCCCTTGGGAACTATTTAAGATTGTGAAGTCCCCACCAAAAAACACAAAACTGTGGAAAAGTTGGCATTACCCAGGTCACAGAAAGGGCCCTTTTTTACCTTGTGAGAGCTGGAACATGAAGGCAGAGCACCACCTTTTTTTACCCTTAGTTGAGAACATGTTCTTGGGGACTCACATTTTGTACCTCTCTGCACATATTCATGAGTGATTGTGAACGTGCTATGAATGTAGATCTAGCGGTTACAAATAGATTTTAACAAGCAGACAAACTAGCAAATATCACATTTTTGAATAATGAGGATTGTCTATTGACCCCCAAATGAAAGTATTTGTCAAAATATCCATCGCTAGACTTCAATTACTTTAGGATTCATGAATGAATTCAACAAATATTTCCTACGATTCTGCTGTTTGCCATTTGCATTTTTGTGGGTTCTTTCTCAGTTTCCTAGTATAGTAATTTATTTGAGATGAACTTGGGGAAAGGGACTTAGCTCTATTTTTTTTAGGAAACGGAGAAGAGGGGCCCAAGGCAAGGGAAACATCCACGCAGACCAGGTGCCGTGGGAAGTAGCTGCATATATAGAAATTTTTGGAAAATGAAGTTGTGATGGGAGAAGAGGAAAAGAAAAATACGGGATAGAGAAGAGGAAAGAATGGGGCTGCTGCCGTCTTTCATCTGGGTTATACATGATTGGTTCCAATCCGTTTGGGTTTCAATCCAGCTTGCCACATTTGCATAGTACTCATCTGTCTTTTGGTTGGTCGTTATCACCTTCAGCTCTAGTGATCAGCCTAAGGCAACCAGGAGGACTCATCCTTTACAACGTGATAGGCTAAAGGATGGAAGGTAACCTGAGATTTAAGCCAATCATCGTATAGGTTCCGCTTACCCTTGCTCACAGTGGTGGTTCAGGGGTACAGATCTGTTTTTAAATGACATTGTTTACATGATGCTTATTCTTGTGTTTGACAATAGGGAAAAGAGATGCTCTCTTTTGTCCTAGATTTTGCGGTGTGAGATATGAAGCCTAAAACTGCTTACGTCATTTTTTTTCAGCACCAGAGAAATCACACAGGCCAGAAAGTAGAGGCAACAGTCTCTCAGAAGAGTCCAGATTAAACTGTATCCAAAGCCTGCATTAACCCTGGACTTCTCAGTGATGTTAGATGATACATTTCCTTTACTGTTTCACACCATCAGTTTGGGTTTTCTCTTGTTTGTGATTGAAAGCATCCTCTCTGACGTACATGGACCCCAGGGGACACTTAGCTGATTTCACTTTTGGTTGAAGTATTCCTCTTTATTTCCCTGTTACTCCTTCTTCCTTCTTGGAATTGGCTATAATTGAAAATTGATTTTTTTTTTCTTTCATAGTTTGAGCATTCTTTATCTGAAGTGCTTGGACTCAGAAGTGTTTCAGATTTCAGATTTTTTAAACCTTTTAGAATATTTGTGTGTACCCACCAGCTGAGCATCTCTAATTGGGACATCTGAAATTTGAAACGCTCCAGTGAGTATTTTCTTTCGGCATCATGTCAGTGCTCAAAATGTTTTAAATTCTGGAGGATTTTGCATTTCAGATTTTCACATTAGGCATACTTGTCATTTTTTCTTATATGTGTCATTATCTTTTCAAACTCTTACATTGCCCTGTTTTTAGCTATGCTCTCTGGATTAATTCCTCTCCTGAACTTTTCTTATACTTCTGGCCGGGAATAAAAGTGCTGGTTCTGCTGTTGAGTGAATGACTTTGGAAAGGTTCCTTGATCTTCATTTTCTTCTTCGGTTAAATGGAGGCAAAAATATACACTCTTAGGATTTTCATAGGAATGCAAAAGCAATCTAGTGTTATTAACACACTAGGAGTTTGGCCTGTGCCCTGCTGCTTGCCACATAGAAAACCAGTTACTGAGGCAGTAAGTATTGCCAGGGAAGAGTGATTTAATTGAGTGCTACGGTCGAGGAGATAGGAAATCAATCTCAAATCCACTTCCTTGATTGACTAAAATTAGGGATTCATGTGGCAGAGAAGTAATGGAACCCTGTGTGGCAAAATAGGAATTAGGGAGAGGTAAGGGAGAGGAGTTGGTCCACAGCGAGCACGTGGTTGCTTAAGCACTTGCTTAAATGGGTGACGGGGTGAGGGGTCTGGCATCTCATTGTCCAGATGCAATAATTTAGGTTTTAGTTGTTTTTGACAAGGTTTTGGTTCCTTGGCCAGGAATGTATTGCTAGTGGTTTGGCTGCTGTGGGCTACGGGAGTCTCAAAAGCCCTCTTAAGTAGCTGTTGGGAAGGTCTTCGAGACAGTGCTGAATGCAATGCATCAATACAGGAAGGATACAGTAAAATGCCTGTACTGCAATTAGAGTTGTACACATCAAATAATAACACTTTTTTTTTCTAATTGAGATTTTATTGGTTGTGTTGAGGGTCAGTACACATATTTCAATTCTTTTATTTTTATTATTATTATTTTTTTTTGAGATGGAGTTTCGCTCTTGTCACCCAGGCTGGAGTGCAATGGCGAGATCTCAGCTCACCGCAACCTCCGCCTCCTGGGTTCAGGCAATTCTCCTGCCTCATTCTCCTGAGTAGCTGGGATTACAGGCACGCGCCACTATGCCCAGCTAATTTTTTGTATTTTTTTTAGTAGAGACGGGGTTTCACCATGTTGACCAGGATGGTCTCGATCTCTTGACCTCGTGATCCACCCGCCTCGGCCTCCCAAAGTGCTGGGATTACAGGCTTGAGCCACCATGCCTAGCCAATCACATATTTCAATTCTTAACATAAGTACTGAAAATCTAAAAAGCCATGTATTTGCTCCTGCAAAAGTAGAAATGAAGCTGGAAAAGGCAGCAGGAGTCCCAGTGTGGCGGCTCAGGCCTGTAATCCCAACACTTTGGGACAGGCGTCCCCAAACTACAGCCTGCGGGCCGCATGCGGCCCCCTGAGGCCATTTATCCGGTCCCCCCACCGCACTTCAGGAAGGGGCACCTCTTTCATTGGTGGTCAGTGAGAGGAGCACAGTATGTGGCGGCCCTCCAACGGTCTGAGGGACAGTGAACTGGCCCCCTGTGTAAAAAGTTTGGGAACACCTGCTTTGGGAGGTTGAGGTGGGCAGATCACTTGAGGTCAGGAGTTCGAGACCAGCCTGGCCAACATGGTGAACCCTGTCCCTACTAAAAATACAAAAATTAGCCGGGCATGGTGGTGGTTGCCTGTAATCCCAACTACTTGGAAGGCTGAGGCAGGAGAATCACTTGAACCTGGGTGGAGGTGCAGTGAGCCAAGATCTTGTCACTACACGCCAGCCTTGGTGACTAGCAAGACTCCATCTCAAAAAAAAAAAAAAAAAGCAACAGGAAAGGACAAATCTTCAGATAAAAAGGTGCAAATAAAAGGGGAAAGGAAAAGGGAGCAAAAGGGAAAACAGGCCAACATGGGTGATCAAGAAACTAAAGAAGATTTACTTTAGAAAGCAAAGAAACTAAAACCGAGAGTGCAGCCTCTGAAGTTGCAGAGAAAGAAGCCAAGTCTCATTAGTATTATATTCCATGTCTTATCGGCCGTCCCTGTCTCCTTTCTTGTACAACCCAGAGGAATATTCTGTAAATGCAAGGTTTTCGATAGCTCTAGAAACCTTTTTAAGAAGGAGCGAATCACATCCCATTCTTTAAATGCAAGTGCTTTTTTTTTTCTTAAAGGTGAAATCATTCTCTGATTGTTTATTTTTTGGTAAAACCAGAAAATAATATGGGATATCGAATGATGGGAGGCTTTGACTCTCTTGGGCGTCAGCTTCATATTTCATGGATGGGGGACTAGCTTTTATATTCTACAACACAAAACTT